AAGTGGGAAACACAATTACATTTGGTGTGTGATTTTAACGTTTAACAACGGCAAACTAAACGGAAACATGTGGAAGGGAAAACGCACCAGAGGCTTCTTTTCTGGAGTTCAAAGACGGAGGCAAACAAATGTTTAAGAAGAGAAGAAGTGTGTGTGTGTCGGTGTGTGGTTGTGTGTGTGTGTGTGTGTGTGTGTGTGTGGTGGTGCTGTGTGTGTGTGTGGTGTGTGTGTGTGTTGTGTGTGTGGTGGTGTGTGTGTGGTTGTGTGTGTGTGTGTGTGTGTTGTGTGTGTGTTGTGTGTGGTGTGTGTGTGTGTGTTATGTGTGTGTGTGTGATGCTCTGGGTTCACCTGCCCATTTGATTTATCAGTGTAACCATGGCAACCGGCTAAAGGCATTAGCAGTGTAACCTTCTGAGGATAAACCTTAATTAAGCAGAGCATAGACGGCTGACTGTCCTGCAGACCTTATAACACTGTCAGAGATTTGTTGGGAATATTTAACAGTACGCTCTCTGCTCTTAGAGAGAATCAGCACTTTCTGACTTTCACTCACCAAAGTCATTTATAAAATTAACCAAGGAGACAGAACAGGACTTAACTTCCCTTGGAGTGTGTTTTTCCATTCAGCTGTCAGTTACTTTTACTGCAGTGAAGTTTTGAACATGAACAGCAGGAGGTAGGTGGGATGTGGGCGGTGAGTGTGTTAGCCTGCTGGCTTCGTCTCTCGGCCTATAATTACCACAGGAAGTGTGTGAACTGAGCGGACTCCTTGCTCTTTGTGATTTTGCTCACCGATGCTTTTCATGTGACAGTTTGTCTTTTCATAACAAAGCTACGCAGGACGATAATAACACATTTGCCTGTGCTCTGTCTTTCTAACAATCGCTGTCAGAACACAGAGGATTCAACCTAATACGCTGCCACGAACGGCTTCCGTAGCATGCTGGCCGTTAGCTGTAGCCGACCGGTAAGTGACGGAAGCCGTTTCGTAGCAGCGCATTAATTTGAAGTCAAGAAGGACACATTATTTAATTAATTTCGTTATCACGACAAAACGATTTTTGTTATTGTCGAGATACGAATTAATAAGTCCGTTACTCCACGAGATAACAGTGCATAAAAATTTAAAAAAATCCATTGGCTTTCTCAGCTTCTGTATCTTTGCATAAGCTCATACAAAATTTTCAATATATCAGCTGAACTAATAACCTCATATCGTAAACATATTTATAAAGACTTAGAATATAAGTGTACTCACTGAACAGTTGGAGTTAGCTCAGCCATTAGCGACGTTAGCGTAGCACAACTCCACTTTTGATTTCCATGCGCGTTCATGACAGTTACGGAAATATGGGGGGAGGCGAGCTTGCTCTGTTTTGTTTGTAATTACTTTTGAACGACAACAGAAGGTGACATCATGCAGGATCACATAGTGTTCCTTTAACCCCCCCCCCCATTGTGTTCTTCCTCAGGCCAACCTACATGCACTGACAGAGATGAAACCTGCTCTCCACACACCTGGGGACAAGGGTGTGCTACTGCTGCTAGGTACACTATTTAGCCATCTATATTTGAGCTATAGCGCTTATTTTTTTAAACTGAAGTGCCTATTGGATAGGAATATAATAGAATATTAAAAAATATCATATTTCAATATTATTTACTGTTCTATTGTATCGATTTCTCAAAAAAAGTATATTTCAATTTTTGTGTTTAAACCCCGAACCGGTAGATAGCAGTGAGGATTATAATGTTGGATGTTACTGTGATAAATACATTTAAATTTGTAACCCTGTATATGATTCTTGCAAATAGTTAAATATTATACATATATTTTTGTCATTTAAATTATGTATGTATATATATGTATATATATATAATTTGTGTATATTTGATACTTTTGATCACAGCAATGTTTATTTTAGAAGCAAAAAAACAAATATATTTCATTGCATTTGGAGAGAACCGTTTTTCCAACCGTTTTATTTCGCCTTATAATTTGTAAAATAAACACTTAGTCAATATAGTCCGAATTTGTCAATATATAAAGATTATGATGGCCAAGGAATTTCTTTTTAATTTCTCGGAAAAATTCCTCGTATGTGAAAAACTTACTTGGCAATAACCCTGATTCTGATTCTGATTATGCATGTAATCAAGCCCCAGGAAGAGGCGGGGCTGTATATAACTGTATCCAGTTTCTCTTTGTACATCCGTTGATGGTGATAAGGTCTCAGAAATTCATCTAGCATATCTGGATTACAATCGGCGTTGTAGGGCTAATGGAGTGGGGTGATTTTAACATTACCTGTCCCTGGTCCATGATTCTACCTCTCACCCAAATAATAGTTATATCCTGTTTTTGTCTGTGAACTTGCTGGTCCTCCTGTAGTTTAAATCCTGTTCAGAGTGACGTCCTTGTGATTTAAAGTTTTTTCTCTGGCACCATTAAAAGTATGCCAAACTAGCTATTAGCAGCTTCCGTGTGCAGTGTACCCGTAGATGTACAGACAGATATCACTAGAATTCTTTGGCACAAAATAAAACTTCAAAATGTGATGAATCCGTTCTGAGGCATCTTTTCTTCTATGATGTGAAAGCAGATCTATGGCTGTCTGTTGTGGTAGAAATCAGAGATAATGTGAGGAATATGATTTTTGACTCTGACTCTTTTCAACTCTCTGCTAAATGTCCATGTCTATTAGAGACCATATCCTGTTAATTTACCATGGTTAAAATGCACAGGGAATATTTTGTTCACCACCTCTTCCTGTAATGTCAATAATGTTTATGACTTTGAATTATTGCTGTTGAAAGCTACTATAAAAATAAACATTCCTTGTTTCTCTTTTCACCAGGTTTTTATCTATTCCAAAGGGGTTCTCCTATCTCAGTGAGAGAGGATATATCACTAAACAGATGGAGAAATGGCAGAAGGTACAATTCAACCATCATACATCTTTCTTTTTTTACTGACATTAACAAAACCTTTAACAGTAAGTCCCTCTGTGTGTCCCTGCAGGAGTATAACTTGAAGTATGTGGACATGATAGAGGAGCAGCTTAATGAAGCCCTCACCACGTACCGCAAGCCTGTTAATGGAGACAATTATGTGCGACGCAGCAACCAAAGGTAAACCCAGCACTGTTTACCTTATTTGATATCAGCCTTTAAAACACACACATATATATATATAATGGAGGAACGTCATTCACACACAGTATGCTTTGATGCTTCAACCGCTGCAGTCGTGCCATTTCACCACCATTATAAGAGCCATTATTACAGTTTTTAGCCATGTGATGGGATGGCAGCGTCAGTCTGTTGGTTGGTAGGCCTGTCACAATAATTAAGTCGACGTATCGTTCGATATATACAAGGGTGTTACCATTTTATAGACATAATTGGGGAGGGGGTCCAAATGAGAGATCTCCAACAGAAATGTTCCTGTGGTATTTCTGATAATTAGCACATTTAGAACATAGTTTTGAGGACTACTGTACATTGACATTAGAATTCACAATTAAGCAATAGTCTGTGATTGTCCCAAGATAATGGCTGCCCCTACACTTAATTTTGTTTCGGTTGCTTACTATTTACTGACAACCTACACACCTACCCATTAGAACTCTACTGAATGTTCTTAAGAATTAAGCGTTCATTGCTTTTGAAATGGTGTACTGACATTATAATGCTAATCATTATACCACTGGCATAAAATTTCTTAAAATGACAATAACATAGTTTTTTTAGAACAATATATCATCCAATGAAAATCGTTATTGTAACCGGCCTTATGTTTGGTCAGTCTGTCTTAAAACTCTATCTCTATCTCTATATCTCAATATCTACTGGATGAAGCAAATATTTAATGAATTGTACTGCTTCAGTGACCTCCTGACTGCTCATCTAACACCATTATCAGGTCACAATGTAATCTACAAGACAGATTTCCAAATGGTGCAAAAAGCAAAGCATAGCCGGAACTTAACAGAACGAACCTCTTTGTTTACGTGTGGCATGGTAGGTTACAGAGACCAAACGTTTACCTTCCTGTGCACTTGTATGGTCAACTGGTTCACGATAAGACTGGCTGCCAGCTGCTTCAAGCCCAGGTGAGGTCCTCTGTTTATTGCATTAACAGACTACAGGAAATTCAACATCACCAGTAATATGATGATATAAGTAGATTCAGCAGAAAAGACTTTTCCAGACATAAATGTGCCCTGGTGTTTTATGCTATTTCTTGGTTTTAACATGGAGTGCAACACTTTCTCAGATTTTCTTTCAAGCATCATTTAGAGAGCAGTGGAACTCATGAAAGAACAATTTCTTATCAGAATTTCTTCTGTTCTGTTTTCTTCTATTGTCATTGTCACAGACGTTACAACGAAATTGGATGAGCAATCTATCCTCTGTGTATTTCAAAAAGATCTAAAAATAAATAAATAACCAGGCATACCTACATACATACCTACATGTCACCCACATCCATGCGCACACTCACCCACCCACACACACGCACACACTTCTGAGTAAAATCTACATACACACACACACACACACCCCCCCACACTTCAAACCCACCCACCCACACAGTCTATTGCACATATTCCCATGACCTACACTGATGATTGCCCAACGTGCTTAGTAGAGGGGGGCTGGGGGGGTTAAGTGTTGAAAAGTCTGATTGCCCATGGATAGAAGGTGCTTCTAAGCCGGTTTGTCCTGCTCCCCAATACCCTGTATCGCTTCCCAGAGGGCAGGAGATTGAAGAGGCCATGGCCATCTTAGATGTCTTGTACTTTTTTCCTCTGAGGCTTCTTCATACAAGTGTTCTAAGTCAGATTCACCAAACTCTGCCTAACTGCTAAACTTATTGTAAATCACTTCTTTCAGCCTGATGAATACCAGCTAGTCAAGAGTGGGTGCACGTATGTGAGGTTTGATAATTAGCATAATCCAGTGGTTCTCGAACTATGGTATGGTGGTATGTGAGCTGCCTCTAGTGGTACGCGGAGGAACCTCTGAAATACTTAATGCTAATACTAATAGCATTAACTAATAATTAGTTGAATAAAATAAATTCATTTAAAAACATATAATACTCTCGAACAAACTATACAATTTTTAATGAAAATACTATGAGATCACTGAAATGTAACATTTAGTTTTAATGTCAGCCTACTATTTACATCCATGATTAGTTACAATATAAAATGTAATGGTAAAATAGTAAGTGGAGGTAAAATTAATGGTTGAAAAACACTATTACCTTTTGGGAAGAGAAGTGTGGTGCAGGAGAACCCCTTTTCCCCCAATTAGCTCTGGTTCAGGATTTAACATGAGTCAACAATAATCTTTTTAGGAATAAACCTGCTTCCTGGTTGAACTTTATGTAGCTGAATAGGGTCGACCTACACTGCTGTATTTTAACGTCAGTCATAATGGTAGTATAAGTATAAGTTTTAGAAGCACTGGCATAATCGACAAGCCTGTTGCTTGTTTTTATACTGCTGTATAAAGCTGAGTTGTATGTGTTCCATATGTTGGCTCTGATTTGTTGTTTTTGTTCAGGCCTGGTGGATTCTTGTAAATACCGTTAGGAGCACTAGGAGGAGCCAGAGGAACCTGATTTATTTATTTTTTAAATTTTTTTAATACTACTGAGATAGTAGGATATAGTGAAAATTATAGCAAATATGACAAAAAAATATATTTTTTAGAAAAGTTACTTACTGCAGCTTTAAAAGTGACATTATGTAATAAAACATGAAATCAATGTATTACTGGGGAAATAAAATAAAAGTGGGGAAATGCTGTTATGAACTAAACACAGACTTTTGAATAAAAGTAATAAAAATAAAATAATCCAGAAAATAAAGAGATCCAATCAAAGTCATTCATCTCATCATTTATACAATAAGGTTAACAATTTACAGCAATGAGCTGAGTTTTACATTTTTCTTATTATCTAATTATTCTCTATCTTGTTGGCTCATTCATATATTTTACACAATTTATCTATATGTGCATTTATTTCATAATGTCGTTTTTGTCTATTTAATATTGGACACTTATTATCAAATATTAACATATTTGAATTCCAATCAGACTGTTTTCCCTGAGAGTTAGTATTGCTTTAAATCTTGCTTTAATATTTTGAAATAAGAGTAGAAATGTTTTTGTCTGAATCTACTCAGCTCACAACCAGGATGGTCAAGGAAGGCAGGATCAAATATGTCATGCCATAGAGTTGTGGTGGCTTTATTTGGTGTCTGTAAGTTCTTTTCTCCTCTTCCTCCTGCAGAATGTGGTTCCTGATTTGAGTGACAGTGTTCGCTCTCCTGCCCTGGACAAATGGGAGGGCATCAAAAATCTGAAGGCAGCTCTCTGGGCTTTGGTCAGCATTTGTAATTATGTTAATATTTGAAAGATTCTAAGAGGAAATCCACAGTTGATGTTCACTAGTTGTCTTTTCTACCAGGGAAACATAGGCTCATCAAACTGGGGTCTGAACTTGCTGCTGGAGGAGGGGGTGATCCCTGACATCGTGGCTCTGGCCCACCACTGTGAGGTCCTGTCCATCAGAGGGTAGGATTGTGCCTGCTTCACTTTGTTTGAACTCTGCTCACTGTACTTGTAGCTACATTCTAAGATGAAAATGCCTTTATTAAGGTCAGATAGTGACCTCATAGCTGTACCCTTACTCTTACCTGTTGTGGGGAAACAAGTCTGCAGTATGAATTTGGCAGATGTGTGAGCTTCGTTTCATATTAAAACGGGAGAAACGGTTTCTGACTGTATCATTCTTAGCTGTCAGGATGCATTCCCCCTGCTATGATGGACACATTTAGAGATAGAATACCACAGGACTTACACACATCCCCATTTATAGACTGACACCACCACATCCATCACAGATATCAGATTAAAGAAACTGCTTTAACTAGCTTACAGTTAGCTTATAACCAGCTCAACTAGCTTACTGTTAGTTGCAGCTATACATTAGCTTGTTTTTAGGGTGAAATTGCAAGATATCAGTATGATGATATTATTAAGCATTGTTTGAAGGTACCACTAATTATCGCTAATGCAGCTGCTTTTTGTTGGTCTGGATGCTGTTTTATTAATATGAATTAAAATGCAACTTAATAATGTATATTTGATTAATTATTATTACTAGCTCATGTCATAGAAAACTGGACTGTATGTAATATGGTAGCCAGATGAGTCTCCATTTGTAGGATTTAGGCTGCCTTCACACTATAAGCCTCAGTGCTCAATTCTGATTTATGACTCAGATTTTTTTTCTTTGGCTATTCACATACATTTTTGAATGTGGCCCACATCAGATTCCAGTGTGAACAGGTCACAGTCTTGAAGTGACCAATCTAGAGTGGCATAAAAGTCACATGAATTTGGATATGATTTGGAATTTACAGTAGTAAAGTTCAGATCTGTATCTGATTTTTATAAGGTGTCTCTTTGGCTTTGGGTTCTGTGCAGGGCGTGTCTGTATGTGCTGGGCCTCATCAGTAAGACGAAGCAGGGCTGTGAAACACTAAAGCAACAGGGCTGGGACGCTGTAAGACATAGCCGTAGCATGCTGTGGCCCATAGTACCGGAGGAGTTGGAGCCTCAGCCCAGGCCCTACAGCCTGCTGTCCTCTGTTCCTAGTACCCTCAGGCTCATAGATTCCACAGGCTCCAGGCACAACAGCGAGAGTGACTCTGTACAACACAGTAAGCCTAAACTCTCCAATAAAGCCAAAGAATTATATGATTACTTTACAACCTTGTTGAAAGAACTGCTGCTGTGTTGTTTTCAGGTGCGTATATGCTAGATGATGAGAGGCTGGAAGGCTGTGACTTCTCAGAGGAGTCTTCTCTGTACGTGTGCCCCAAACTGACGAAGGACAGAAGTCCTCTTACCATGCTGGCCTCTTCCCGCTTTCGCAACCGCCTTCTACACTCGCTGTCTCTACCTGGGAAGAAGCCTCGTGCCACCCCTTACATCAAAAGCAGCAACCAAGGCCAAGGAGGAGGGCTGGATGGAAAACAGGTGCTCAAATGCACCAGCTACTCATTTGTAGCCACAGATGTTTTCCCGATTTACAACGGCCATTTGTCTAAAAGCTCTTCAGGTGGTAGAGAGACCTCTCTTGTGGGGAATAAAGCCATAGAGAATGGCGGAAGCATACCCAGCATTGGGGAGGGGGAAATGGATGGGTCAGGGGTCAGGAACCAGCGTAGCTATGAACGTTTGGCTGAAGATGGGCCCTCAGGAGGCGGTGGAGCCCAGTTTAAAAGCCGCAGCCAGAGCTTTAACACAGACACCACCACCAGTGGCATCAGCTCCATGAGCTCCAGCCCCTCCAGGGAGACCCTGCCTTCCACCATAGATGCTGACTGTGTCAGCCTTAACACTGTGATAAGCACCCAGACTATCCAGAACGTGCACTCACTGACACCCCAACCCTGCTCCACACCGCTTTCAATCCCTAAGTCCTGCTCTGCCTCGCTTGTGCCTCCTGGCTCCTCCCACACTTTGCCCCGCCGAGCCCAGTCCCTCAAGTCCCCCTCAGTGAGCACCCTGAGCAGCCTAGCTGACTACAGCTTGTACTCCAGCTCCAGAGATGCTTTGGGATATGCCACGCTGAAGTACTCAAGCTCCCACAATGGCTGCACAAGTCCTCGTGATGCTCTGGGCTACGCCACCCTGAGGAGGCTGCAGCACCAACGGATCCAGCCGTCCCTGTCGCACAGCGAGGCCTTGGCCTCCCCAGCCAAAGACATACTCTTCACTGATGCCATCACTATGAATACAGGCAGCCTGGACTCCAGACTCACTTCACGGAGGTACCTGCAGTGTTTCAAAAGTACAGTGTGTAAGATTTAGTGGCACCCTCCTCTTCCAAGCGCGAAGGAGAAACTGTGATGGCCGCAAAAAACCCGGACATCCATATCTAGAGCCAGTGTTTGGTTTGTCCCTCCTGGGCTACTGTAAAGACATGGCGTCATCTTTTTTGTGTGTAAATGCAGAATTATTTTATATTAACAATCCACACCTATGTTAGCTGTAACAGAGTGACTAAAATGTCAATAATTGCTAGAGCCTTCATTTACCTCAGTGACAGGTCAGGAACAGGCTTGTATTAGACAGGCTATTGTTTAAAATTTCCCCCAGATTCCTGACAGCAATTCCACTTTGCCTTTTTCCCTGAACAATCTTAAACTACAGTCTGAATGAAACCTTAACACTTTCTTCAGTATTTTAACATTAAAAGTCTTGCAGACTTCTATAGGTAGGCTTTTAATTTCAGTAATGTCAGTTTCAAGTGATTTCTGTTGGCAGTCATGGATCTAGAGTGCCACAAAAGGTTGTGATAAAGCAGAGAGAATCAAATAGGAGATCTGGCCATGTGGCTATGGAGTGTGTGACGCAGAAGGTAACACCAACGTGAGTGACAGACTGACCACCACTTAGTGTAGCAGGAATACAGCTGCTGTAGTCAGAGCTAACAGAGCAAACCAGCCATGAGCAGCAGCTGTCAGACTCTCCGTGTCCGCACTGCAAACACAGAGAGTCCGCTGGAGCTTGTACAGTCACTAGAAGCACATTCATGGCCGTTTTTAAAGTTTTCTGTGCGGTACCTCTGTTGTAACTTTAGCTAAGCTAGCGGCTAACTCTCCAGTGACTCTGGCGGAGTGATGGGCTACGGCTACGTAGCAGGCCACACTCTGCAGAGTCGAGACGTTAGAAGCAGGGGCATAGAAGCAGGGGTTGGTTGGAGACGAAAGCTGCCAGCACATTTGTCACCTGCCTCCAGATCAGCAGATAGCAAAATGTAATTCGAATAGCCAGTTTCAACCAGTAGAGTTGAAACCGGCTGTGTATTTTTATAGCAAAATATGTAGAATCAGAATTAGAATCAGAATCAGAATAGGTTTATTGCCAAGTAAGTTTTTACACATACGAGGAATTTGTCTTGGTGCATTGGTGCAAAAAATATAAAGATCCCACAAAAATAAAGTACTTTTAAAATATAAATAAATAAAGATAAGAAAAACTGTACAGGAAACAGGCCTTGTTAATGAGACCAGCTGCAGACAGAAAGAAACTGTTTTTGTGG